CTGTTATAGTGTCTGTAATTGTGCAATATCAATCTCTAGTCAAGATAGATTAGTGTTCTACAGGATTTGTTTTGTGGAATTATATTCTACAGAGATAGATCTTGTATTCACGGTATGTCTTCTGGAGGTATGATATTGCCAATTTACATAATATCAGCTGCCATTCTAATATGAAATTTTATAATTTAATAAGTCGCTCATGATTTTATCTTGAGTTCAAGTTGATTTAACCCTTTGATGGCGAAGCCCGTAAATTTACAGCTTCAAAATTTTGAATAGGCTAGTAAAGGAATTACTCACTAATTCCATCTGTAGTATATAGAGATAACTTGATGAAGCTCACTAGTGACATACTGTAGACACCAGGGGTATCTTTCGTAGGGCACTATCATTGGTTTATATGAAACCGGTCTTTTTAGGATTCAAGAGTGTTCTGTTAAAGTAGTATAAATAAGAGGTAGCTTTATCGTATAAATAATATACAACAGTTCATTAAGATCAGATTAGACAAGTAACGATAGCAATAATCGTTGTTACTAATTAACTTTATACGTTATCATCACTCATTTTTCATCTTTTGCAATTATTTTTGATTATTATGGCATATAGTAGTACAACTGATTCAAATGTTACTGGAACTTTTACAGATTCTGAATTAGATGATGAAATAGATACTAGTTCTGTTTTCGATTCTGATAACGAATCAGATAGTGGAGACGAAGAACAAGATGCAGAAGGATCTTTTGAAGAGCGAATATGGAAAGAGGAGTGATTCGAACCAAAAAAAATTACATTTGACTTAAGTGAATCTGGTATCAGTTCGTGTCTACCAAGGAATGACGAAAATAGACCGCTAGACTGTTTTCGTTTGATATTTGACAATATTCTGATGGAAAAAATTGTCGAGGAGACAAACAAATATCATTTCTATACCATGCTACACGAAAATTTACCTGAACGATACCAAGAAGCAATTGATGCTACTGAACCAGAAATGTATACATTTTTTGCACTTTATATGCTAATGGCTCATACCAAAAAAAAGTCGAATAAAAGACTATTGGTCTACTGACCCTTTGATTGCCACACCTATGTTTCCAGATATGATGAGTGGGGACAGATTTCATTTACTCCTACGATTTCTACACTTCAATGGCAACAAATATTAACCATCTGATCATACATTATATAAGGTCAAGCCAGTAATTACTCATTTACGTGAAAGATTCCGAAAAATTTTCACTCCTTATCAAAATTTATGTATTGATGAAAGCCTGATGTTGTGGAAAGGTCGACTTATTTTCAACAATACCTTCCATCTAAGAGGAGCAGATTCGGGATCAAAATATACTTTATACATGATGTTCGCACTGGAATTATTTTAGACTTCATTATTTACACAGGAGCCACTACTGACATAATGAGATCTGCAGATGTCGGAATTTCTGGTTCAATTGTTGTGACTTTGATGCAACCGTGCTTCGATAAAGGTCATAATTTATTCTTAGATAGTTGGTTCACAAGTCCTGCACTGTTTGAAAAATGACATGCAAGATCAACTGGCACATGTAGTCCTGTAAGAGTAAATAGAGTGGATTTACCCCAGTTCGAGGATAAAATTAAGAGGGATCAACAACTTTCTAAAAGTACAGATAACATGCTGGTACTGAAATGGTACCATAAAAGAGAAGTTATAATGTTATCTACTATTCATCAACCTCATATGGAATTTACTGGAAAAAACGATCTAAAAAGTAAACGACCAATTCGAAAACTAATTTCCATAATTGATTATAATTCTGTAAAGGAATTTATTTTTTCATATGCTGGATTTATCAGTCCTCAACTCATATTTGCTTTACAAAATGGGAACCGAAAAGAAACCTCAATTGATAGATTTCCGTTTACAACTTATACGTGAAATTGTACAAATTTTTATCATACTCAAAAAGCTACAATAGGGCCATCTGTACAGGGCTGTAAACCAACCAGACTCACTGCTAGACATTTTCCTTCTCTTGTACCTCAAACAACGGAAAGAAAAATCCTCAAAAAAATATGTGTCGTATGTGCACATACTAATAGAAGACCTAAGAAGAGAACAGATTCACATTATATGCGTAGAGATTGTGATGTGGATCTTTGTGTAATTGGTTGTTTCGAGGACTTTCATATTTTAGTAAATTATTAGTTTTTCTTCTGTAATGTTGGCAACACAATTTCATATTTTTATGAAAAAAAAACAAGTCCGCCGTCAAAGGGTTAAATAGGTTTAAATTCAATCCAATTCATTTTGATTAGACCTAAACTAGGAGTATGTATGATTCATTAGAAAAGGATAGAGAATAATATATAGATAATTCATTAAAATAGTTCTTGTCTATTTTCCATTTCGTTACATCAATTTTTTAATATTACACTACTTCAGTGTATATTTTTGTACATGCCAGTGCATAAGTGTTTTGTTAAATATTCTGGATAAAACGAGAATGAGGACTACATTGAGTATTCATGCTTTCATTTGCGAGTAAATCTTAGAGAAACAACTCATATGAGTACTCACTAAAGCACTGGAAAAGTTATAATTATACATAAAATCTTTCTAGTACTTGCACAAGTAATTCGAGTACTCGTATTAGTAAGTCGTACTTACTCAATGAGAATTTTCATCAAGATAGTTCGCATGCAAAAGCAAGGAGAGATTTTCAACCTTTTGATGATAAAATATTTGTTGTTTTAAGCATCATCGATCGTATTCAAGAAAATCACTAGATAATGCATTTCTGACATTTAGCATAGACAAGTTTCGAAGTGAACTTCGCTTTGTAGTTTTTCATTTTCTGGAATGTTTTCATTATCGATTGCAAACAGAGAAAAGTTTTCTTCAGACACTCAAAGTATTTTATCTTAGTTAAAATATAAACCAATGCAGTTTTTATAGTCTGTTTAAAAAGTCCGTGCGTGTGACTGTTTTTTGAATAACTCGAGAAAGCAAACAGCTAGAGGCCTGTGGTTTTCACCAATTGAAAGAGGAGGAGTTAGAACGTCTTTTCCTCTGATAATGTGTTGGACGAAATTCTTTTAAAACTGATCATCTTTGAAAAATATAGAAAAGAATGCATGAAAGTGACATACAATACACATGAAGTTTCGATTATGACCTTTGATTTAGATAGAGAAACTTCAGATCTTTAATTCAAGATGCAACGCAACTAGCACTCTAATTGCGTTCTAATGTTGACCAAATGAAATCATGTAGTTACATGCGCAAATAATAGGGAATTTTGCTGATGTTTTACTATGTTTTTGCATTTTTTTGTCAAAACAGCTGGATACTTCGATGAAAATGTAATGAAACGTAAGAAAGTGTATTATGTTTTGAACTATAGATCCGAAGTCCCTCTATCTAAATCAAAGGTCATAATCGACACTTCATGTGTATTGTATGTCACTTTCATGCATTCTTTTCTATATTTTTCAAAGATGATCGGTTTTAAAAGAATTTCGTCCAACACATTATCAGAGGAAAAGACGTTCTAACTCCTTCTCTTTCAATTGGTGAAAACCACAGGCCTCTAGCTGTTTGCTTTCTCGAGTTATTCAAAAAACAGTCACACGCACGGACTTTTTAAACAGACTATAGTAAGCTTTCAAAATCATTCTCATTGGTCTTTGATAAGCGGATCTCGATACCATTTTACTAATAGTACTGTAACAAGTGCGTCATATATTAGGAATGCATCTGTATATCTCGATCTTTTTGCTAAATAAAGGGCATATGAAGTAATGTTTTTCTTGCATAGGATGTTGTAGAGCTGAAGACGTGTTATTATATTTATGAAAATAGTTGTGGATTTGACCGAGTGTTGATAGAAATATGGAATACACCCTCATAACGAATAAAATTAGCCAATCTTGAGGACCTATTGAGGAATGATATACCTTATAGTTTGTACATTTCAACATGATCCTAATATGCAACGTTGTATTTTTCTTCTTGTATGTAAAAACAATGACCTTTCAAATTACGTAGGACAAATCAAAATTCGAATTCCTCTTCTGGACAGCTTAGTGAGCGAACTGATGAAGTCTCTCTTAATATGTATAGTATTAATCAGAATTGAAAAAACTATAAATCATTGTAAACAAAACAACTATGCATTCAATGGAATGATTTTCTATGTTCGTATACAGAAATGCAGTTTCGTAAAAATACATAAACAAATAATTTATTTAATTTCAAAATGACATTTGGAAAAAATTAAGAGAAAGGAGAAACTCATTTGAATAGGTGTCTTTTTAATCTCTACAGTTTAATTCTATCGCCACTTCTGCCACTAATAACACTTCGTGAAATCATTATAATGAACTTTGATGTCCATTTACAGTTGGACTATACATCTTCAGTGAAATGACATTAGTTTCGAATCAAGAGCAAGGAAATACTGACGTTGCATCATCACCAGCATCAATTCTAGGAAAAGAAGTACAAAAAGATCCAGAAGAGAAAAAAATGTTAAGTATTTATGATATACATACAAAATCCAAAAAGAATTTACTACTAGCTATTCTTAGTTTACTTGGGGCTCTATCTACATTTGATGAAGTTGTTTATGTCCCTGCTTTACCAGCACTGATCAGAGATTTGAATATCACAAAAACATTGGCTTTGATATCTGTTAGTCTATATTTATTTGGAATAAGTCTGTCAAGTCTCGTTTGGGGAATGCTATTAGATTATTATGGACGTAAATGGGCAACAACATTTGGGTTTATTGCTTTTATACCAACTTTAGTTGGATGTTACTTTTCACCAAATATTTGTGTATTCTTTATCTTTCGTGCACTTCAAGGATGTTTAGTTTCTCTAATACTAGTCGCAGGACAAGGGACAATAGCTGATATATATCATCCTAGCGAACGTGGAACAGCTTATGGAATATTTTTTGCATCTTATTTTGCTGCTGTATTTCTCGCATCTATAGTGGGTGGTCAATTAGCTGAGCATTATGGCTGGAGATCTACATTTCTATCAGTAACAATAATTTCAGTTGTGGTGTTCATAAGTTATGTATTAGTTGTACCTGAAACTCACCAATATCAAGTAATATGTATGTATCAGAATCAAAGGAACATAACGTTACTTGAATCAGATCAAGTTTCACCACCAAAATTAACGAATCCATGTTTACCGTTGTTGTACTTAGGCGATTGTACAGTTATTCCTTATGTCTTCGTTCTAGTTTGCGGCTTTATAACGTTGAACTGCGGATATATGCTTTTTTCTCCTGATGTATCTAAACCACCGTATTCCTATCGTGAAAGCACAATCGGTATACTTTTGCTTCCACATAGTATAGCTATTTTATCAGGGAGTGTAATCGGAGGTAAATTATCTGATTTGGTAACAAAAAAATCTTTTCAACTGTCAACAATCCCCGAAGAACGTATTGTACCAGGACTAATCTTGTTTGTATTAGTACCCATCGGCTCAATTATTTATGGATGGAGTATTCAATCTGGCGTACATGTTTCGGTACTCATATTGGGGCAAATACTCTACGCATTTGGTCAAGGGGCATCTCGACCTGGTATACTTGCATACTATACAATAAAATATCAAGAGCATGCAGCTAGTATTAACTCAGCAAATAATTTCCTTCAACAACTAACAACATCAATTGTTATCGCATTGGCCGAAAAAATCGTACTAGTAATCGATAATGGATGGTTTTTTACAGTTTTAGCTGTCTGTAACTTATTGGCAACAATTGTTGCGGCTATTATAATCTATAGAAAAGTTAGATTATCTGCAAATCCTGAAAAAAAGACGCTTCTTTAAATAAAAACTTCAAAAAAGAACTTTTTTCAAACGTTTTATGAGTAATCATATCACTGTCTCGCAAAATATCTAATTGTGTTGTCTTTGAATAGAAAAACTTTTGTGAAAGTAATTTATCATTAAAATAAAACGCAAAAGGCTTGTTACTCTTGTTTTTTTGTTGTGTGGCAATATAAGACAGATAACGCTCATCATGCACTGGTCCACTTGATTATAGACGGGCAGAACAGATATACAGATACGCCTGTATGTAACTGTAAAAATCCACAACAGCCATTCCACGTAAGACACGACCAGAACTGCCCAGGTCGAACATGCACGCTCGTAAACGGTCGTTTACGGAGAAAAACGGAGATACACGGAGGTCGTGCACGGCTTCCGTATACAATGCGCGTATGCGGAGCGATGCGATGAGAAACGGATTCCGTAAACGGAGATCGTACAAAAATACCGAATGATTAAAAGATAAACATCTGGGCTCCGTATACGGAGTTATACGACTGCCGTATACGGTCGTATATTACCGTGCGCGATCGTATCTAGTCGTATACGGCTACCATAAGCGTACAATTCAATGAACAACACATTTTGTGCAACTCACATATATTTTTCGAAGAAAAATAGGGAGTATAGGTTTAAATGCGAGATTTTCAGGCTCATCTTTCCTCTCTTCTCTCATTACAGGCTTTAGCAGCCGTGGTCGAAGGTTAAAGAGCGCTGGACACAAATTCTACCATAGTAACCACCATATAACAAGCATCAGACTCCTTTTCCGTGATTCTTTAGCAAAGGAAAAGGGCGCTGAACGGTGTTAGCAAACACGGTTCAGATTGTGCTAGAACATTTCAAAGCTTTCCTTGAAATTTAAATGGCTGGACTATGTTTTTGAATGCTATATATAGTATGGTCTCTGATTTTTGCTCAAATTAACGAGTATATGATACATATCAAAGATGGATGATAACTGGTGATGTATTGATTTACTACGATCGTCATATGAGCAACACAAAAAGTATTAATTGATCAAATTCTAATTTGAGAGAACCATCAAAATCAGTACTTGATAAGTTTATCAAGGTCCATAGTATCCAATAGATATTTTTTCTAGAGGGATATTTAAATTATGAAACTTTAAAACGGAGATACATTAATGTTAATTCGACGCCCGTCTGGGGATTTATCTAATAATGGTTACTAATTGTTTATGAATGAAAAAACAAATGTTAATTATAATTTTTTGCGGAGAATGTCAATATAATTTTGAAAATTTTGTACTTTTCCATCATTCGAACCGAAAGCTGAACGAGCATGAAAAAGAGAACGTTCAGCATGTTTAATAGCTGCATTATAATTGCCGAGATCTTCATAGTCTCTTGCTGTGTTGAAATGAATCACATACAAAGATGAATGATTTGGAGATGATGATGCTTCTTGAATCTCAAGTGATTTTTCATAAAATTTAACAGCATCTGTTTTCTTATTCATAGATGAATAAATAGAAGCCATACTACTATAAAGTGGAGCTGATAATAGATCATGTGGCGTAAGGATTTTTTCTCGAATCAATAAAGATTTTTGATAAAATAAAAGAGCATTGTTTTTATCATCCATGCAATCATAGGCGACAGCAATATTGTTGTAAGTAGTTCCTAATGTAGCATCATTTGAAGAAAGTGTCTTTTCCAATATTGTTAATGCTTTTTGATAAAAAGCAACAGTATCAGCATAATTTTTCATTGAATGATATATCGATGCAATACTTTTACAAGTTGAAGCTATTTCTGGGTCAGTCGGAGAAAGAGTTTTTTCTTGTATAACCAGTGCTTTTCGATAAAATATTAGAGCATTTTGTTTATCTTCCGTACAATGAGAAGCAACAGCAATATTATTGTATGTTATTCCTAAAGATGAATTGTGTGGAGAATCTGTTTGTTCTAATATTGTTAGAGCTTTATGATAAAAACTTACAGCATCAGAATAGTTTTTCATTGAATGATGTATTGATGCAATATTTATATACGTTGAAGCTAATGATGAATCATTTGGAGAAAGTATTTTTTCTTGAATAGCTAAAGCTTTTTGATAAAATATATTAGCTTCAGAATAATTTTTCATTGAATGATATATTGATGCAATATTTTTACAAGTTGAAGCTATTGCTGGATCATTCGGAGAAGGAGTTTTTTCTCGTATAACAAATGCTTTTCGATGAAATATTAGAGCATTTTGTTTATCTTCCATACAATGAGAAGCAACAGCAATATTATTATATGTTGTTTCTAACGATGAATCATCTGAAGAAAGTATTTTCTCTTCAATTAGTATCGCTTTTTGATAATAAATGATAGCTTTCGAATAATTTTGCATTGAATGATAAATTAATCCCATACTCTTGTATATATTAGCCAATGATGATTCATCTTCTTTAGGATTTTTTTCACGAATAGAAACTGTTTTCGCATAAAATGATATTGCATTTGAATGATCATCGATAGCATTGTATGCAACAGCTATATTATTATATATAGTTGCTAATGTTGATTTTTCATTAGAAAAATATTTTTCACGAATTGTACAAGCTTTTTCATAAAATGAAAGTGCATTGTGATAATTTTTCATATTGTAATATGTTATACCAATGATATTATAAGTATTGGATAAATCATGATGATTTAGTGGTGATAATTTTTCTTGTAAGGTTAATGCTTGTTCAAATAATGAAATAGCTTTTGAATAATTTTTCATTCTATAATATGTGGGGTGTAGGTGTGGGTGTGGGTGGGTATGGGTGTGGCTGTGGGTGTGGGTGTTGGCAAAGCATTGATTGGACATCTACACCGACACCCACAGCCACAGCCACACCCACACCGACACCCACAGCCACAGCCACGCCCACACCGACACCCACACGCATCCACACCCACACCCACACCCACACCCTTTCAACATATACTCCACATGAGATTCTACACGGTGATCATTATCTGTTTCAGCAGGAATATGTTTCACTGAGAACTCTTGCATTTACTGGTGAGCGAACAACCGAAGTAGCTGTTAAAAAGGAATACAATATTACTCACTCGTATACAGTTCAACCTATTAGTTCGGTCGCCGGTCACTTATTAAATAAATTTTTGCTAATTCTTCACGAAAAACAAAATGAATTTGATACCAGAGTGCAGAAGGACATAATCGTGCCGCCGAACATGGTTGTACGAGCTTCTACCTCTGGGAAAAGTAGTGATGAAAATCATCGTATTTTCTTAAAGGAGGTTCTTGCACCTGTTGTTCGCAGAAAATTCCTCCTTTTTCTCGATTGTTGGAAGACTCAAACTGGTCTAGATAAGTTTAGAGCAGTATTTCCCGATCAAAAAAGTCAGTTATTGATTTTTCCTGAAGGATCAACCGGTCATATTCAACCATAAGACTTATCCTTATTTCGTTCGTGGAAATTCATTCGTAAGAAAATTGAACATGACACTCACATCAATCGGACAGAGATCAATATGAGCGATTGTCAATATTTTATAAACATGCAATTTGTTATTCATAATCAATTATCTGCTCCACCATTCAAAAATCTAATAAACTCAGGATTTATAAATGCTGGGATAATTCATGAAACAATTGAAGAAGTTGAAAAACCAAAGGATATTTGTTTCAAATTCTACAATCTCTATTGTTCAATAAATAATTGTGAAAATCGAACACTTCTGATTTGCGCTTGGTACAAGAAATATTTTTGTCATTATCATCTGATTGGAAAAATTCATATTTATTTCTAGTATAGCATAATAAAGACACATTGAACTTATTATTTTCGATTTAAATAAGAACAGATGGATTAATAGCGCTTTGCTATGATGAACAGAAGATTCTTTTTCTCATTTATATATTACTGAACCTTCAGAAAACATCGAAACTTGCGCAACACTGCTTGAAAAGATAGTTAATACTGCGAAAAACCTGAATTCGAAAAATTCTGTTGTTCTTATGTGTCTAAATTTTGAATACCTTAAAATTTGAATATCTCGATCCAGATTTGCCATTGGGAGCTCATATTTTTAATTTGGTAGTTTTTCGTTGAGAGTAATGATTTGATCTGAATATAGTTAATCAAATCAACTGACGTGGCAAACAATTCCATTGTAAGCCTGAACTGTATCCAAACCTAGCCAGAGTGGTGGTCCCAAAACACGTTTGCTATGAGCACTGTAGACCGTTTCGAAGATGACACTGTGATTGAGAAGGTAGCGAAACTCGGGGTACAGTCTGAAACTGAGACCCAAGCTGAGGACAGTAATCAACTACAACTACAATGAAAATGAGCACCGGTCCACGAAAAACTTTGGGATGGATACAGAATCAATAGTAAAATCTGGACGAGAAGTTAGACCTAGCAGAGTTCGCATTACACACAGCCAGTCGGATAGACCTTGGGATCAAGCCTGAAGTTGATAATGTAACTGACTATGTGACTAGGAGTGTGACTCGCGTCTGCAACTGAATGATGATTTGAATTGCGACATAAACGAGAATCACGACTGAAATAGGAATCGTAATAAGAACAAGGATGTACACGGCGACGAGGATGTAAACTTGAACGAAGATGGTAGGCGAGATAGATATTAAAACTGAGATCTGGGTCAGTGTTGGGACCGAGAACGATTTTGGACGAGAACTGGTATTTGTACTGTGGCTGAGACTGCGTCCGAGCTTCGATCTTTGACAAGGAACATGGCTATGGACATGAAATGTTGTCAGAAGTAACGTTAAAAATCATTATCTTCTCTCATATGTAGAAGGGACGTTTGAATATTGATTCCAACAGGATCAACGATATTTAGCAGTACAATATTGCTTGTGAGGCCTTGATATCTTATCTATCCTATACAACGATTAAAAAAACAAATTAAGCCGTGGTATAGTGCGCATTTTTTCCAACCTTCGGTTTATTCTCTCTCTCTCCGTCAATTAAGCTGCTCGAGCGGTGAGTGAGAGAACAAGCAAAAAAACGATAATATAGGTGAGAAAAAAATAATAAGATATCTCAATAATATATGATCATGTGTTATTTCACATATATGGATGAATGCACACAAGCCAAACTTATTTTGTTGATGTTTATATAAGCAACATGATGCTTTTATTTTTTTTTGCGTAGAATAACTTCGATTCATTACATCATTATTCTGCTCGTCAACACAGAAGGCTTCGCAGGAATACACTGAGCAAACGTAAGTTTTTTTGAATTTATATTCTCTTCAGAAGACGCTTTTTATTACCAGTATCCAGCGAACTTTTTTCTATCCTTAAGTTATACCAATAATGAGAGAATATTCCCAAATGATCCGCTCCGTTTACACTCATAGTATGCCCACACATAAGGGATCATTAGATTAGAATAATCGCCAATGGACTTGTGCTCTTGCTGAGATATGACCGAAGTATCAAATTTTTAGTGGATCTTTCCTGTAGGATATTAGTATTCGAGTAAAATCATATCTTCGAATTTTGATCTAAAATTTTGTCGACATAAAAGTCTTACTATGACTATCTCATATATAAAGTTTTATCATTCATGAACATTGCGTCGATGACATATAAAGGTTTCAAAATATAGATGCTTTACATTGTATATATCTATAGAACTGTACCTGTTTTGAAAAATTTGTATGTCAAAGATGCAATGTCTAAAAATGATAAAACTTTATATATGAGCTAGTCATAGCAAGACCTTCATGCTGACAAAGTTTTAGATCAAAATTCGAAGATATGATTTTACTCAAAAACTAATGTCCTGCAGGAAAAAATCTACTAAAATTTTGAAGTTTGGGCTAAATCTTAACGAGAGCATGAATCCTTTGGAGATTATTCTAATCTAATGGTCCCCTACATATGGGCATAATATGAATGTAAACAGAACAGATCACTCGGGAATGTTCCCTCGTAAACTTGTGTAGTATTATTTTTATATCATAGTGATCATTTTCCTGCCGATAAAAATCTTGAGAAGTTCTGTATGAAATAAATTGCAGATATTAATTATTGTAATGCCACTTTTCTCACCAAGCGTCTGTAGTAAGAATTATCAATATATTTTGTGAGTTCAAACTTGGAAAAATACCGTTCAGAATTGTATTCTTTTAGCATTCGAAGAAGTTTGACCTCGTTAAAAATTAGATATGATGTTGTACAGAAAACAAGTACCTCAGGAAATTTTCGTGGAAAGAATTCTCTTCAACTAGTTTTTGGAGAAGGTGAAATACTTCTAGCTCTGAAATTTTTCTGTGTATTTTTCGGGCTCACTGAACAATCATAAATGTAAAGCAGTTTAATTTTCCTTTGGTTCCATAGCATACTCATAGTACTAGAAAATAATGGTTTCCCAGCATAAATGGTCTCCTAGGTTTTTACTCGATATCCCTTTTCAGTTTTCATAGTATCAAACCACAGAAGCAAACTAAGCAAACATTTTTGTTGAGCTTTAAAAGCCGTACTCTGTGAATGTGCACCAGGACTCATCGATCAAAAGCCTATAGGGTTAGATAGATGTTAGTTTTTATGAATTTTCGAAAATATTCGTGTGTTTCACCGTATTCTTTCAGTTTTTGGAAAACTACGGGTAACTTGTCGTAGAATTTTTTCCTCGAGCATGGCTTTGATTTGTGCAAATGCCACAAAATGATACTATGCAAAGCTAGACGCATTCTGAAGCAGTGCTACTTGAAATAGTTTATTTGAGAAATAGTTAAATAAAGTATGGAAGACAAGGACTAGTTCTTGGGAAAATAAATGTTCTGCGTAGAATTTTTTACATGCTGCTTCAATACTAACAAGAAATATGATTCAGTATCAATGAAAATACTTTGAAAGTGATTATTGATAGGCTCCCGTAGTACTACTTTCGTAAGTTTTTCCTTTTATATCTGCGTTGACCATTTCTGTAGGGCTTCATAGAGAACTCAATGCTGAATGTTCTTGGAAAAAATCCGTTCCAAAACAATGAAAACTGAGAGAGATATGTGTAAACACTAAATGTGAATCATAACGAGTTCCAGCTCAGGTCAATCATGCTCGGTCGTACGCGCCCGTCACCCACCAATTACGGCGGATAACAGTTACCGTTTCATGTGACCGTTTACAGCAACTGTAAACGATGCTGTACGGCATATTACCGTGAACGTAAATGACGCCTATAAAAGACGACCGTCAACGACTAGCGTAACGATACTGCGATCGTATACGTTACTTGTGAAACATCGTAAGACGTCGTAAACGTCAGCTGTTTACGACACTTATTCTCGCCAATCGTTAACGGCATCATACAGTGCATTACGACGATCAGAAACAATCACCATGAACAGTGGCCGTTCATGAGCACCGTAGCAATACAGCGACCGTAAACAGGCGCACAATAAACCACTCTAATGTATCCTATGCGCTAGATGTTACCGGATATCATATCCGCCGATCGTCAACAACCGTTTACCTAATAATACACCCATTCCAAACGACCCGCGCAAACAGTCACTCTCCCCGACCATTCACTAATTAAACATGCTCTAACAGATTATCCACACATCTCAACCCACACAAATCAGATATCCAGACACCATTTCAGAATTATACGAAAACCCGAGCACTACGATGTAAGGGCGATTTCGAAGAGAACCTGGGTGCTCTAAGATCAACTCAAACATGACGCGAACTTGTCCTTAGAATCAGAGAGGAAAGCCATTCTG